CAAGAAAAACCAAAGCTTATCCTCTTACCCTAACTTTGACCCACTTCCCTTCCTCTCACGCGTCATGCCTTCTCAAAACTCTATTTATCTCATCTTTTCTTCTCTAACAAAATAGGAGTACTGTCTAATTTAAACAAATTCTCCATATCTGAATTTTGTAGAAATATCGATATCAATAAATATTTTTTAAAAATTTATAGAAATATTTAAATTAACAAATAAACATTTCATCTATTTCAAATAAATTAAATTTCTTATGACTATATAAATGATATCTTGTTGATATATATTTTTTCTTTTATATTTCTTATCTAATAGTATAGAGATGTTGATTTCTATGTCGATGTTGAACTCACAAACATGTAAAACTGTTGATGAAAGTTTAATAATACGGTGTTAGAGACCATGAAAACTAATAACAAATATATAATTTATTTAGCCATTTGATGAATACCTTTTATTTCTAAAAGATGGGACCATGGAAGAAGTATTTAGTTAAGTATCACCCAGACTCAACCATTCATCAAAATGGAAAAAAGAAAAAAAAAAGTATAATTCAACTGTGTATTTCAAATTCAAACACATTCAAGGCTTTCATTCTATAATGGGCCGTCAATTTCCACAACTCGGTCCAATTCGATCTCTGAGTGTTGCTATTACATGGGCCCATTGGGCCGTCAAGAATTAAACCAGTCGGACCTTGGCCTATTTGTCTCAACTGCTTAATTCTTTGGATTCTTTTTTTGTTTTTATTTTTTTTTTAGGCATTGAATTTTTTTTAGTTCGATATCTTTGGATTTTATTGTAGGAGAAATATAAACACAAAATTAAAAATTCGAATCCAAAATAGCGTTGTTTCCATTTTGTTATCTATAGTGCTCAAGATTTCATGAACAATTGTCTCCTAGGATAGGATGAATGTACCAACCTATTAATGCAGCACTCCACACACAGGATTCAACGAACTCACAGCATTTAATACTCGTACAGAGGAAAAAAAAAGAGACTTTTGAGGGATAGTTTTTATGTTTTTCCAAAACTGAGAAGAACCACTTATTTATAAACTATTTGTGGTCATTCAAATAGTCATATCTTTTTCATATAAAGTTACGTCTTTTGATAAAAATGACATATAACCTTTACAAAAGACGCACCCATTCATGAAAAGTTGTGATTCTTCATTTTAACCAAAATAATTTTATTCAAAAATTGCAACATTTTTTTCTTGTTGACCTATAGAAACCTCATATACATCCACCAAATATCACATGTTTTTAACTATTTTCACTTTTTTTAATCCTGGAACTATTGTCCTATTTCACAAAAAAAAGGAAAAAAAATATAATTTCTTTACCATTAACGTGAAAATAACTCAAGTAGTTAAATATATTAACCTCTTCTCTAATGTGCTATATTTTTTATTCTTCTCGTTTTTATTTGTAATGTTACATTCCAAATAAAAACTGACAAACTTTGAAAACGTGCTATATAAATACCTAAAGAAATGTAATAATAGAAAATATAAAAACAATTCTATGTTTGATAGTTTCAGATTGCGATAATATATTTAACCTAACTTTGTTTATGTATTTACATAGTGGTGTGGGGCACATGAGAAAAGGATTTTGTCTACTTAAAGAAAGGTTGCTTTAACGTGCACCCATCGACAATCGACAATCTTACCATTATACAGTTTAAGCAATTGCTTATAAGCAACCTACATTCTCTCCATTTTCCCATCAATACATATTTTATTTCTAATTCCATTCCATTCCATTACTTCACTCTTTTTCTTTTTCTTTTTTCCCCTCGATCATACCTTTAAATATGTTATAAAACTAAAATTAAAATTTGAAAATAAGGATAAAAAACTAACAATTTATTTAAAAATATATATATAGATGAGGTTTAGCATAACCTAACCTCGACTATGATACGTAGATGTATTCCTCTCACACTAGGTGATGGTACAAGATTGAAGGAGATTGAGGGTTCAAAGTCCGAGATTGCAATTGAAGGGGAGAGAAGGGTGATGGTTGACGGTCCGAGATTGTGATTTCGGGGGAGAGAAGAGGAAGATCGAAATATAACTGATATACTAAATATAAAATATATCATTGGTATCATTGATATACGGCAGGTAGCTTATATGAAGTCATACCAGTCACAAATGTATACTTCACACTAGATATATCACTAATAAATCTTCTTTGAATGGAAGATTTTGGTTTAAATAATATTGTAGGTTTTTTTTTATCAAATATATCAATAATATACTTCATCTTAAATATATGATTGATATAATTATTAGTTATATTAATGATATAACTAATATATATTGATACACTTATACTCTGTAAAAGTCTAATAAAAATTTTCACTTTTTTTTGGTCCGGGGTGGATCTTCATTTTCCACTATATTTTTCAAATAAAAAAACATGTGCTATATCTCTAATTAACAATTAATTTTTTACTATATCTAAAGCAGCCATTTAAAAATTTACCTTTAAACTACATTATCTAAAATTTCAAAAAGTTGAACCAAAATGATTCAAACTTCGATATGTAGTTACTAAAAACATCAAACAAATACGTTAATATTTTGTTTTGTCTAGTATGAAATCATTTTAAATTTTGTGGTTTGAAATTGGATAAATAATTTTAAAATTTGTTAGCTTGTTTAAAATAAGAACGAAATCGAAATTAATATAATTAATCATTTCTGTTTTAATGTTTGCAGGGAAAAAAAGAAAGAAAAAATTTCTTGAATCTAATTTTATTAATTAATTGGCGGAGTACTGAGCCTACGGGGAAGATTGGGGGCGACGAAGAGTTTGAGGTGGCAAAGAACTAATATTGTGTGTCAAACATTTTCGTCGATGTGCGGTTCTTTGCTTAATAGAGTTACCAGCCGTCGGATGACGATCATTCTATAACCCAATCGCTTCTTTTGAAATTAAAATAGGATAAAGATAAATAAGTAATTTATTACGAAATCTGACAAAATCAGATCATTTTAGTATGAAAAGTCTTTTTACGTTAAAACAAATTGATTTTAAATCTTATTTTGTTTCGAAATTCATTTGACATCGTCAAAACTTGAAATTACTCAAAATTTTGACATACAAAAGATAAATTTCAATATTTATCGTGATTTTTTTCTTAATTTTAAGATATATAGGAATGGAGATTCGAGTATGCACTCTTGAATCTTAATAAAGTTAAACTTAGGTTTACCGTAATTCATTGGATTTGCTTATCTTGGATGGGAGTTTTATAAATTCTGGCCATCTATTTATCAAACGGGTGTAAAGTGTCTAAAAACGAGACAGCCGTGCCACACAAACTTTATCAAACGGGTAAACGAACAACTCTGCCCGAAAAACGGACGGTTGTGATCGATAGCTCCAACCGGGAATCTGTGGAAGGAAGCCACAAAGAGAAGAGATTTCCACGTTTGGGGCCCTCTCGATAAGTGGGTCCCCTTTGGTTTAAGGAATGGAGTGAAGTGACAGCTTCAAATTCATCGTTTTCAAATCCCACGCTTCTATTTAACCTCACTTCCCCTGCCCACTTCCTCCTCACCCTTTACTCATTTCTTCTCTTCCAAATATCCGTTTCATTTGGTGGGTCGTTTTTGTTCTTCTCTTCTGCATTACAAATTGCTTTCTTTTGAACTCTAATGATGAATTCTTGCTTCATTTTTGGTCTTTCTGTTCCATTGCGTTTCGTTTCTACTGTTTGGCATATTTCTGAGTTTGATTTTTCTGGTAATCGCCCTCTGTTTCATATATCTTTAAGGGATTTCTCATCTCCTAGAAATGGATTGCAGTTACCCAGTTTGCGGTCAAATCAAATAAGACGAGTTTCTGGATCATCACTGATCTTAAATTTATCAGCATTTGGAAAATAATTTGTTGAGTGTGTCTTTTTGCGTATGATATATCATAATATCAACGTACTTTCAAATGTTGGCTCGATTTCCCAAGAGGGAAAAACTATTGACCTCCGTTTTGTCTTTTTCCTCTTTTCAATCTTTAACGTAACTTTCTAACTTTTCTGTCTGTGAAATGCTAAAAGCTGAAAGCAATTGGGAATCTTTTTCTACTTTTCCTTGGTTGAATATGCCATATTCCTAAGCTTTGAATCCTTCCTTACGTGCTTGCAGTGCAGGTTACTATGAGAAATAGCCTTAGGCCTCTCCTGGTTTCTCTGTTCCTTTTCATATCATATTCTTCTGCATCTAACGAAGGGCTGCTAAGGATTGGACTGAAAAAGATCAAAGTGGATAAAAACAATCGGTTAAAAGCACGGCTTGAGTCAAAAAAAAGACTAAGAGAGTTTAATAATCTAGGAGAATCTACGGATACTGATGTTGTAGCATTAAAGAATTATTTGGATGCTCAATACTATGGAGAGATTGGCATGGGCACTCCACCTCAAAAGTTCACTGTAATTTTTGACACTGGAAGCTCAAATTTGTGGGTGCCATCTTCGAAATGCGTTTTCTCGGTGAGGATTATGCAAATTCTAATTGGGAAAGAGGAGAATGACAATTGGTTTATGATTTCTAATATGTTCATTTTGCCTTCAAATGCAGATTGCTTGCTTTTTCCATGTCAGGTATCAATCAAAGAAGTCAAACACATACAAAAAAAATGGTTTGTTTTTCTTCTCTTTACCTGTAATAGTCTTCAAAATGAAATCTTGAGTTCAGTTGCAGCTTTGTTTCATTTATCCTCATCTTGTGTTAAACGAGTATAGAAAGATAATGTTTTGGAATGAGTAATTGGCTTTCCCGAAGTGAATTATTGTATATTGTTCATTCTCGCTCATAAGGACCGATCGCGGTTTGTTTCTGTACAAGTGGCTTCTAAGGTTGTGGTGGTGTGGTAGAGATAAGAATTAACCGTTCAGCAAGATCAATCATTTGATAACCACATAAGCATTTTGAAATTGCTTTCGACTCACTTATTGAAACCTGTTTTAGTTCCACGGTCTGAAACTTGTGTACTTACATGATAACACAGGAACATCTGCTTCTATCCAGTATGGTTCAGGAGCTATTGCCGGTTTCTTTAGTTATGACAGCGTTCAAGTTGGTGATCTCGTTGTTCGTAATCAGGTAATCCTAACTCTTTTTTTTTCCTCTTTAATAAAGTGGAAGAAGCCAATTTTCTATATCTAATATTGACTCATTTCAGCAATTCATTGAGGCAACTAGCCTGTCTAGTATGACATTCATAGCTGCTAAGTTTGATGGTATATTGGGACTTGGATTTCAAGAGATCTCGGTCGGTAATGCTGTTCCAGTGTGGTATGTTGATGCAACAATAACATTAGTTCCTTCTTGCTGAGAAAGGATTTTAAGGCGTTTTAATTAGGCTCTTGGATTCCCCTTAGGTATAACATGATTAAACAAAAACTTGTCAAGGAACCAGTTTTCTCATTTTGGCTCAATCGCAATGCCGAGGAGGAAGAAGGAGGTGAACTTGTATTTGGCGGGGTCGATCCCAAGCACTTCAAAGGCCAGCATACATACGTGCCTGTGACAAAGAAAGGGTATTGGCAGGTTGGCTACTGAAATCCTTTCAACACCAAACATTGCTTTATATTTTATCCTTCCCCTCATACTGCTCAAATGGTTTTTTGCAGTTCAACATCGGCGATATTCTTATTGGTGATAAACCAACTGGTATATTCCATTTACTTATCTCGGTTTGGAGTGTGATTATCACAGTTCATATAACGTGCTTCTAACATGAGGAACATGAAATGCAGAATATTGTGCTCATGGTTGCTCCGCTATTGCTGATTCTGGAACTTCTTTGTTGGCTGGTCCATCTGTATGTAACCTATACATCTTATTAGCTACTTAATCTCTCTTTAATCTTCATGATAATCTCTCTTTAATCTTCATGAGAGTTGGGGTCGAGAAAAATCAACATGAAGTTGAGAACTAGGTTGATTTATGGGAATGTAAGAATGTTAAGCAACCATTCCAAGAGACTTCACTTTGTCATTTAACTGCTAAAACTGAAGAGTACCTATATGAACTTAGCATATATAAGGTTCTCCATGCATTCGTCCATGATGATGACCGCCTTTGTTTAGGCATATACTTAAAAAAAGATACTTCTCCATTGCAGAATATAGTGACATTAATAAATAAAGCCATTGGAGCTTCTGCAGCTGCTCATCAAGAATGCAAGGCAATTGTTTCACAACATGGACAGACTATTATGGATTTGCTTTTAGCTAAGGTAAATCATAATCTTTGTTAACAACGTAATCTACCATGAACAGCTAGATAAAGGTCTTGAATTTACATTCCACTGACAGGCACAACCAGAGAAGATTTGCTCCAAAATTGGGGTTTGTACCTTTGATGGAACCCATGGCGTTAGGTTAGTGTATAAAGAATCTTCGCCGAAGATAATATTTCAAGTTGTTTTTCAGGAATCAATTAACTGACTTCACTTTCAATTGCTTAAAAAAAGGGATTAACTAACTCATGGTTAATGATTGAAATCAGTATGAGAATTGAGAGTGTGCTGAATGAGAAAGATGGTAGATCATCTGGTAGTTTCTCCGATGCGATGTGCTCTGCTTGTGAGATGGCTGTTTCCTGGATGCAAGAACAGCTGAAGCAGAACAAAACTCGAGATGATATTATTAATTACGTCGATGAGGTGAACTAGTTCTGTTACCATCTTTATCACTTACAAATTATTCATCTTCAGCTGACTTGCCTTTCACGTTTCCGCAGTTATGTGATCGAGGCTCAAACCAGGGAGAAACATTGGTCAACTGTGATCGGATCTCTGAAATGCCTACCGTGTCCTTCACCATTGGCGACAAAATTTTTGAACTTGACTCAACAGATGTATGATGGCTTCCCAAATATTTCTCTTCTGCATGCTTCTGAATTTGTGTACCACTTGAAGAATATCATCCAATAAGTAGTTACCCATCGATAATAACTTGCTAGGAGAAATCTCTCTTGTATGTGTGTGCGTGTGTGGTTCATCTGTCGATACATTGTTTCTCTGCTACCTGAAACATCCTTTCCTTGTCATATGATGTCGTTCCCGTTCTTTTAACGCCAACAAGCGTATCCAATACCTTATGCTGCCTGAATTTAACCTTATTCATGCTAACCCCACTGCTTTTTTGAATAGTACATTCTCAAGGTGAGTGATGGAGCTCAAGCTCAATGCATCAGTGGATTCATACCTTTGGACATTCCTCCTCCTCGTGGACCCCTCTGGTATTTCGCTTATCCTCTCAATTTTTAGCATTTCTAATATTCGATTCGTGTTTCGTTACGATGATGATTCTTAACCTGCTTGGTGCAGGATCTTGGGAGACATCTTCATGGGACGCTACCACACAGTCTTCGATTCTGGCAAAGTGAGAGTCGGATTCGCCGAGGCCGCTTGAATAAATCATCTTGGGAGACACATCTAACACATCTATATGCATCTTTACAGAAGCAATGAAGTTATTAATAAT